AGCCCCATATAGTTCTTCCCTCGTCAATAGCTTTAACAGCCCATCATTCATTTCCGCCGTAACCCTCATAGGCACAGAGTGAAGGACAAGCGTAAAATCCGGCCATTCCCCTGTAGTTAACAAAGTAGCAAAATAGTTAGTGAAACACTACAACGCCTCCTCCGTTCCTCGCCACCATGCACCCGTCTCATCTTTTGTTTTATGGATTGTATTTCTAGGCGTCGCGAGGAGGCCTTGCTGTGGAAAAATTTTGTATTCTTATCACCCTCACGGAGCCAATCCGCACTGATCATTGTTGCCAGAATAATTCTTCGTCACATTCTAGCTCCTCAAGTTCCATCTGTAGTGTTCGTCTCTGTTCCAAAACCTGCTCAGCCGTCCGACGTTTCTCTACAGCTTTTAGAGCTCTCTTGATCTTCTCTTTATGTCTATGAAAATTAGGAAAGGAAGCCTGACTCCACTCATCCAGTTTGGATTAAACCAGGCGCATCTTCATCACTGCATTGCCCGGAGCCAACTCCCACGCCTCCTTCACCTTCATCGCGCAATCTTCATGTTTACTCCAAAGTGGCTCGAAGCGAAACGACCAGCCCCATTTGATTTCCGCATCCTCCTCACCCATAGTTTCACATATAATTGGCCGATGGTCAGACCTCAGTAAATCAATATGGGACACCCCTCACTTGCGGCCTTATAGTTCTCCATCCTTCATTCGCTACAAATCGATCAATCCTTTCTTCTAATTATCCTCCAACCCTTCTTCTGTTTTCCCACGTAAAGGGTAACCCCGATAACGAAGGTCCTGTAGTCCTGAGTCATTTAGGCAGTCCGAAAACGCCCTCATCTCCACCTCGCTACCCGGGTTACCTCCCATCTTCTCCTCATCCGTCAGAATTAGGTTTAGATCCATCCCACAAATCCAAGGTCCATCCCACATCATCGCTAAATTGCGAAAAAGTTCCATCGTACAATATTTGTTATTGCTCCCGGACCACCCGTAAATACCGGTAAAGCGCCACAACTCAGCTTCCCTTTCTTCTATCTTCAGGTCAATATAGTTTGGGTCCTCATGCATCACTACAGCCACAGTGTCCTCCAGCCACTACATGGATATCCCTCCAGCTCTTCCACCCCTCGACGTGTCACAGGGCCAACTCGTACCATATTTGTATCCAAGCTCCAAACGTATTAACTCATTTTCATCTCAAAGTTGTTTTGTTTCTGTCAGGAAAACAACTTGGGGCGAAACTTGTCGCAATAGCGACTTCAGGGACCTAACTACTCGTGTGTTTTCCAGGTCAGGACAGTTATAGCTCAATAGTCTCATTTATGTCCGGAAGGGGATCGGTTTCCCGCACCATCAGCCTGTTTTTTAGTTTGGTTCCCTCCTTCTTCATGTCGATGTTTTGAATGGTTTCCCTCTCCTTTCTTCGGTTCCTTCTTTTTCCCAGCATCACCTTTACTAGCTTTGGATCAGTCCACTCCTTTCCCATGATCAGTTTTTCCCTGTTGGCTCGGATCCTTTTCTTGATGTGGGTGTTGTGCGTGCTCCTTTGGGTGAGGCGTCTGTTTGGGCTTCGAAGCCATTGCATGTGCACAACCTATGGTTTCAGTACGTGCTTTTACTGCATGGGACTGTTCATTTGTGTCTATCTCAGTTGTATACTCCCCTCCTTCTGTCCATCGACCCTCTCCTGTACCAGCGGCCTTGTCTCTGGCTGCTCCTTTTGTTCTTAGTTTGGGATAGCTCCTGAAAGCGATTCTTGGTAAAATAACCTGCAGCTCGTGCATGCGCCTAGTTATGCTGCCCGACCCTCTGCTTCTCGTTTTCACCTTCATCCATTCCTCATACGTGCGTCCTTGGAAGGGATCCACACTATCCTCCTTTTCTCCCTCAACCTCCTCCGTCTCCCTATCCAATCCCGTTGGAATGCAATGGCATTTCCCAGTTGACGTCCCATATGTACCACAATCAGTACAACGATAATCCAAACCTTCATATTGGACTAAATAAGTAATGCCTTCTATCTTAAACTTGGATATTAAAGGTTGTGTCAGATCCCGGTCCACCCGTACAGGTTTTCTCATCCATTCTCCAATCTTCATCACAACCTCTTTATTGATGAATTCGATCGACAGCTCCGGGATTTGTGCCCACACCATCGTAGATTTCACCACTGTCTTCCACGGATTAAATCCCATGAACCATCGATGAATCGTCATATATGTGTCCTCTAGCAGCCATGGTCCTCCCATTGTTGCCCATTCATAATGCTTCTGGTTACGAAATCGGACCAAGAAACATCCATTATTCATATCCGAGATTTGTAGTTCTCCATTCCTGGCCTAGAGAGAGTTCAAACGACGAGCCAGGGGACTGTACGAAACCCGTCGCCCCAGCCCTTTCACCACCAATGCTGATCTCCACTCCCATCTTCAGCGAATCTTCTCAGCTTCCGTAAACGGTATCGTTGGGCACTTAGGATCTTCTTTCTCCTCATCTATCTCCTTTTCTTTCATGGCAACATACTCAGAATCCGAATCACCCACATACCACGAGTCTCGCTGAAGATTTGACCTTTCCATCCCTGCCAAGAGGAGGTTTTCGGGCCTTCCTCCTTATCAGGATACCATCTGGGCCTTTCAAAACACACATGGTGTAGGTCAACTGTGCTTGTGCAACCGACTGTATTAGAACTTCCCTAGCATCAGTCGACATTAGTCTCTCTTTCCATCATGTTAGCTTCTTTTGTACCCGATCCTTCAAGTAAACAAAAAGCTCCTTCTTCGACCGACCAACCTCCGTTACAAGACCTAAGTATTTGTTATGTTTTTTCGCCACCTTCATCCCTAGCGTGGCACTAACAATAAGGCGCTGATGCGGCTTCACATTATCGCTAAAAGTCACCTCAGATTTCTCCAAGCTGACTAGCTGACCGGATTCCTTCTGGTAATCTTCAAGCACTCTTTTCAACTCCCGACTTTCCTTCTCCATTGCTCTAGCAAAAAAGATAGTCATCATCAAAAAAGAGATCCGATATAATCGGAGCTCCCCTAGCAACTGAGTGGCCATGAATCTTTTTCTGCAGGACATCGACACTCATGTAACTTGACAAACCCTAAGCCACCAATTGAAACAGGTACGATCATAGGGTATCCCCTTGGCGAAGTCCTCTGCTCGGGGAGAATACCAACGATCTGTGGCCATTAACCAGGACTGCATATGTCACCGATTTAACACAAAACATCATTAACTTGATCCATCCTGCTGCAAAACAAAGTCGTTCCATAACACCTTCCAGAAACCACCATTCTACTCTGTCGTACGCCTTGGCCATATCAGTCTTTCCCGCCAAGTACCTCGTCTTGTTTTTTGTCTTCTTCTTCATTGTGTCAAAACACTCAAAGGCTGTCATCACATTATCAGCAATAAAATGGCCCGGTATAAATGCCCTATGATCTTGTCCAAAATCACTTTCAATCGGTTTGCCACGACCTTTGAATGTATTTTTTACATCACATTATAGAGGCTAATAGGTCGGAACTCCTATTTTCGCCGTAACCCTCAAAGGCACAGAGTCAAGGGCAGGCGTAAAATCCGGCCGTTCTCCTGCAGTAAACAAAGTAGCAATATAGTTAGTGAAACACTGCAACGCCTCCTCCGTTCCTCGCCACCACGCACCCGTCTCATCTTTTATTTTACGGATTGTATTTCTACGGCGTCGAAATGAGGCCTTGCAGAGCCAATCCGCACGTGATCGTTGTTTCCAGAATAATTCTTCTTCACATTCCATCTCCTCAAGTTCCATATGTAGTGTTCGTCTCTGTTCCAAAACCTGCTCAGTCTTCGCACGTTTCTCTATAGCTTTTAGAGCTCTCTTGATCTTCTCTTTATGTCGACGAAAATTAGGAAAGTTTGCCCTACTCCACCGGTCCAGTTTGGATTGAACCTGGCGCATCTTCATCACTGCATTGCCAGGAGCTGGCTCCCAGGCCACCTTCACCTTCATCGCGCAGTCTTCATGTTTACTCCAAAGTGCCTCAAAGCAAAACGACCACCCCATTTGATTTCCGCATCCTCCTTACCCATAGTGTCACATATAATTGGCCGATGGTCAGACCTCAGTAAATCAAGATGGGACACCCTCACTTGCAGCCTTATAGTTCCACATCCTTTATTCGCTACAAATCGATCAATCCTTTCTTCTATATATCCTCCAACCCTTCTTCTATTTCGCACGTAAAAGGGTAACCCCGATAACGAAGGTCCTGTAGTCCTAAGTCATTTAGGTAGTCTGAAAATGCCCTCATCTCCACCTCGCTACCCGGGTTACCTCCCTTCTTCTCCTCATCCGTCAAAATTAGGTTTAGATTCCCCCCGCCCCACAAATCAAAGGTCCATCCCACATCATCGCCAAATTGCGAATAAGTTCCATCGTACGATATTTGTTATTGCTCTCTGACCACCCGTAAATACCGGTAAAGCGCCACAACTCAACCTCCTTTTCTTCTATCTTTAGGTCAATATAGTTTGGGTCCTCATACATTACTGTAGCCGCAGTGTCTTCCAGCTACCATATGCATATTCCCCCAACTCTTCCACCCCTCGACGTGTCACAGGGCCAATTCGTACCATATTTGTATCCAAGCTCCAAACGTGGTAACTCATTTTCATCCCAAAGTTGTTTTGTTTCTGTCAGGAAAACAACTTGGGGGGAAACTTGTCACTATAGCGACTTCAGGGATCTAACTGCTCGTGTGGTTCCAAGCCACGACAGTTATAGCTCAATAGTCTCATTTATGTCCGGAAGGGGATCGGTTCCCCGCGCCATCAGCCTGTTTTCTAGTTTGGTTCCCTCCTTCTTCATGTCGATGTTTTGAATGGTTTCCCTCTCCTTTCTTCGGTTCCTTCTTTTCCTAGCATCACCTTTACTAGCGCTGGATCACTCCACTCCTTTCCCATGATCAGTTTTTCACTGTTTGATATTACTAGCGCTGGATCACTCCACTCCTTTCCCACTACCACAATTAGAACACAGATCATCCAAACCTTCATATTGGACTAAATAAGTAATGCCTTTTATCTTAAACTTGGATATTAAAGGTTGTGTCAAATCCACCTCCACACAAATTCTTGCATATTTCCCACGAGCTCCCAGTTCAGTAGCCCGGTCCACCAGTACAGGTTTTCTCAGCCATTCTCCATTCTTCATCAAAACCTCTTTATTGATGAATTCGATCGGCAACTCCGGGATTTGTTCCCATGCCATCGTCGATTTCACCACTGTCTTCCACTGATTAAATCCCTTGAATCATCGATGAACCGTCATATATGTGTCCCTTAGCAGCCACGGTCCTTCCATTGTTGCCCATTCATAATCCTTCTGGTTTAGTAACAGGACCAAGAAACATCCGTTATTCATATCCGGGATTTGTAGTTCTCCATTCCTGGCCCAGAGAGAGTGCAAACGGCGAGCCAGGGGAATGTATGAAACCCGTCGCCCCAGCCCTTTTACCACCAATGCTGATCTCATATGAAAAATGACTTGGTGTAGTGGTAATAACACTAACCTTGAATCTGGAAGTCCTAAACTCGAATTTTTCAATTAGTACCTAAACAACAAAAAGTAACCCTATTAAAAGGACACCTCTCCCTCTCTCTCTCTCATAAACTCAACATTCTGAATATGTGATAAGTTATTGGTTGTATATTTTTGTGATTTGCGAACAATTACTAATATCAATATTCTAAATTGAATAATTAATCTGATATATCTTACAATTTATTTAGTTTGGAAATTGCATTGATATTAAATTTGAAACAATTAGAATTATGTGATAATTTGGAAAGTATATTGTAAACCTATTGAATCCGTGCAAGTGTGCAACCCCATCATGGGATCATCCGTAATCATCCAGCCCAATCATGGGTATGAGTCATTCTATCTTTCATCCACCATGTAGTGATTGATTCTAAATCCATCCAAATCCGCATAAAAGCACTCATTGTTCATCCTAACATAAAATGCATTTATAAAACACAATAAAGTATCAAACCACCTCAAACACAATTTGAATTTTACGTTAAACTTTTTGGAAACTAAAAAAAAATGTGCGCTATAGACACCCGACGAGGCTTCCATGCGCCTCAGGTACGAGCAGTGGATGACTCGTTATGGACGAGTTTACGGGAGTTCCCGCGAGAAGGAAGTACGATACCAGATATTCAAAGACAATGCAGCTCTCGTCGATTCGTTCAATGCCGCAGGAGACAAGCCTTACAAGCTAGGTACCAACCAGTTTGCGGATTTGACGAACGAGGAGTTCAAAACGACCAGGTGCAGGTTCAAGGGTCACATGTGTTCCCTGCAAGAAGAATCATTCAGGTATGAAAATGTGAGTGCAGTGCCGACCGCCATGGATTGGAGGAAGAAGGGAGCCGTCACTCCGATCAAAGACCAAGGCCAGTGCGGAAGTTGCTGGGCGTTTTCAGCTGTGGGCGCAATGGAAGGAATCACTCAGCTCAGTACCGGAAAATTGATATCTCTTTCGGAGCAAGAGTTGGTTGATTGCGATACCAAAGGAGAGGACCAAGGTTGTGGTGGTGGGTTGATGGATGACGCTTTCAAGTTCATTATCCAGAACAAGGGCTTGACCACCGAGACCAATTATCCCTACACTACTGCCGATGGATCCTGCAGTGCTAGCAAAGAAGGAAATCCCGCTGCTACGATCAAAGGATATGAAGACGTGCCTGCTAACAACGAAGTCGCATTGATGAAGGCAGTGTCTAGTCAACCGATTTCTGTGGCAATTGATGCAGGGGATTCCTCGTTCCAGCTCTACGAGAGTGGGATATTTACAGGAGAATGTGGGACTGAACTGGACCATGGAGTGACTGCTGTTGGATATGGTGAGAGTGGTGGGATGAAGTACTAGCTGATCAAGAACTCTTGGGGTGCTCAATGGGGATAGGAAGGATACATCCGAATGCAATAAGATATCTCTGCCAAGGAAGGCATTTGCGGTATTGCTATGCAAGCTTCTTACCCCACTGCATAGAATCAAAGCTTCTAAAATATCCATCTAATCACTGCTCAATGAATACGTTTATTTTTGTAAAATACATTTGTGAAGTACTTATGTAAGTATTGTATACTTCGTAATGTTGTTGCTCATTGTTATATATGAGAAACAAGAGGGCATGGCTTATGTGCCTATACCTTCAAGTTATCTAATAACTCTATGTCAAGTAATGAATATGTTCCTTTCTCTATAATTCTTGCTTTTGTTCCTTCCTCCCAAATGAGTTCATTTCTTAAGTAACAACTGTGTTTTTATTGCACTTTTGTTCAGATCTACCAAAAATTAATCAGGTTCTAGCACTATTTCTTAAAAGAACTCCTAACGATAGGAGCAGTGAGGGTGGATCATATAAGATCCGAACAGAATGTAGCTGATCCTTTGACGAAAGGATTACCTAGAGAGATAGTCCAGAATACCGCCAAGGGTATGGGACTTATGCCTACCGAACCACGGACTACAAGTGATGGTAACCCGACCCAATAGACTGGAGATCCCAAGAAATGGGTTCAATGGGTAATAACAAGTCATGAGTAGTATGCGAAAAGTTCATGCATAGTGAAGCATGAATCCCAAAGCAATGGAGGTTGAGTTAATAACTCTTAATGAGATCTATACCCTATGTGGGGTGGAGTACTTTACTTTGGGGGTACTCCTGATAGACTCACCTGTGTGAATGTGGGAGTGGGGCCGCTCCCTATGGAACTTTGGAGGCACAAAGTTGCTAGAGCGTTCACTAAACCAGGATAACGTGCATGGCCATAAACGCACGGGCTAAGAAGAGAACACAACTCAATGAAAAGATCCGGTGTGCTACACTGTCTGAGATAGGGTTCAAGACTACGAGTCACCCTTATGAAATCGGAAGTGTAACCACTACGCTAAGGTTCAAATCTTCGCGATACCTTAGCTTACGCCCGATCTTATGGAACTGTTAGTGCTCAGAGATAGTTTCAAAACTATTCAAGTAGGGGATTGTTGAGAAATGTGAATAGTTTGTAAAAACTAAAGGAAAGTCCTTGGAAAAGGTAAGTGAAGTTAATTCGGAATAATTCTCTGTATTGAAGGAAACGTTTCTTCAATCAGAATTAATTGACCGAATTAACGGAAAGTTCAATCAATTGGATTGATTTTCCATATTGAAGGAATCTTTCATGATCAGATCAATTGCCCATACTAACGGAAAGTTTCTATCAATTGGATTGATTTCTGGTATTAAAGGAAACCTTTATCAATTGGGTTAATTGTCTGCATTAAAGAAAGGTCTAATCAGGAGTTATTACTCTTGATTTCCTTCCTTAAGAAGATTCTCAAATCCTCCACCAAGAGGGGAAGGCTGAAGGTCTCATCCAATATAAATAGATGAGTTGCCTAACCCTAAAAGGGACAACAACGAGCATAAAACACAATAGAGAGAGTGTTCAGAGAACTCGGGTTTTCGCACAAAACCGCGAGTATTTAGAGGAGCTGTTTTATCCTGGAGACGACCGGTTGATAGTCTGCCGTGCGCATCGAGGGCAGTGCCGCGAACGTCTTGAAGAGAGCGACCTAGTCCGCGACTCAGCTCCAGATTCGGTAACCTCGTTATTATTGTTCTTCAATTAGCGGTTGTACCGCCATCATGATACAATTTTTTAGTCATTGATATTATAGAATTAATACAAGAAGTCAAACGAAACAAGTGTATGTTTTGTTAGAACATCAAATAGAGCTAACAAACCATTAAGTCCATAAAGATGTAACCATTATTAATTCAAATTCAAAGCATTTTTTTAGCGGAAATTCAAAGCATTTAATTCTATAACATCTATAACTTTATACGGCAATTACTATTTTTAATATCCAATCATTAATATTTTTTAATATATAGATACATTATCTTTGGGGCTGATATGAGTACGAATATGGGGCGAGGAGTCTAAAACAATACCCGCCCCATTCATCATAATTATTTTGCGGATTTAACTCATACCCGCATCATATCCAATCAATATGGAAATTCTTCTTGATGACTCTGTCAGGGCAGTTAGGTACCCACGATTCTGGGTTTAATTGCTAACAAATAATAACACAGAAAAATTATGTGCAAGACACAAACTTAAAATTAGATTCAATTTATGGATGTCCATATTCATCTCCCAACCACCATCTTCCCAACTCACTATTGATGGTGTTTGGACTGCATAGTGCATAGACATCCTTGGCTATAAAAGGAAGCTATATGGAAGAAGGCTCGACACACAACTCCCCTTTCCTCAACTCTCTGTATATATGTTCTCCCAATGCAATCCGTGTATTGAGAGTATGGAATAAAATTGATGTTACTCCTTCTCTTCTATTTCGTGTTAATGGTATTGCTTATTCCCATCGTCAGAATAATTATTCATAACACGTTATCAGCACGACTGTTCTACGTGCTCAAGGTCCGGAAGATCTGAGGTAACTTCGGGAATAAAAAATGTTAATCATTATCAAATATTGTTTTACGTACTCAAGATTCTGTTCATCTGTGAGTCAATTCAATAAGTGAAATACCATTATCACGATTGTTATACATGCCCAAGATCCTGCTGATCTGAGAAGCTTTACCATTGGCATGAAGGTTATACCTACCCAAAATATCTTAACTTCCGGTTCTTCAACTTCCAGGTATATATATTCCGCATAGCAGTTTATTCTTGGAACATCTTACTCATATTCATAATACTGTTCTCATGGCAATAGAAGGGACAGGTTAACGAAGGGTAAATTGGGTATGGAAAAATAAATTATATTAATTAATTTTTAAATACATTTTAGGTAGTTACAAAAATCTATTAATTAAAATTCTCTCTTTCTCTCACTTCCCTGATCTCCAGCCAGATTTCCTTTCCATATTTTTCTCAATCTTTCTGCAAAAAAAAAAAAATTGAAATCAGTACCAATCCATTAGACAAACACTACCACTTTGAAAAACATCAATACCATTGCAGAAATAAATCTATACCATTACACGAAAACTACCCATATAAACAATCTATACCATAAACAATCAATACCATTGTAGAAATAAATCTATACCATTACACGAAAACTACCAATATAAACAATCTATACCATAAACAATCAATACCATTGCAGAAATAAATCTATACCATTACACGAAAACTACCAATAATAACAATCTATACCACTCAATTTACGAAAACTACCAATACAAGGACGACCTACCAATGTAGAAATTACGAAAACTACCAATACAAAGACGACCTACCACTCAAATGTAGAAATTACGACATGGAAAACTACCAATCAATAAAAGGGAAGTGAAAACTCACGAGGATCCTTGATTGTAGATGTCGATGGAGACGGAGACGTGATCGGCGCCTGGAAATGAAATGGTACAAGAACAAAAACAATAGAAGGCAACATCAGTGCGTGGAAATGAAATGGTACAAGAACAAAAACAAAATAAGCATCCGCAGGGTGTCTGGCAGTTCCCTGTGGTAGCATCATGGGATGGGTAATGTGTGGTGAACATCACGAGCTCAGGAAAGCCGGTGAAGTCCGGCACTGATGTTACCTTCTTGTGGGACACGATGACCGGGACGTCGGAGGCGGACAGTGCCGACGACACGAAGAAGAGCAGGGCGAGTAGCACAGAGATCAGCGCCTTCGGCATCGGGATCGCCATGGATAGCTGTGGGGCGATGATTTCTGAGTAGATGAGGGGAAAGGGTAGAGAGAGAGAGGGAGGGTACCGAGGGGGGCTGCTGCCGGCGGTGGTCGGGGCTGCTGCCGGCGGTGCGACGGGAGTGGTACGTGGAGGCGGCTGCGACGGGTTTGGCTGGAGGGAGGATAGAACTAGGGTTTAGGTAGATTATATAGAATAATTAGGTGTGGTCACTTTTTAATTTTCAAAATTACCCTAAAAGAATCTTGACCGTAAGATTAAAAAAGAAGAGAAAACAATTAATCAAATGGTATATAAAGAGGTTGCCACCGTGATTACTAAAAAACAAGTAATCACCCTAACCCATTCCGGCAATAGAATTACATGTATGAATTTACTGTCCATATATAAATATGCAAGATTTGTATTCCATTGAGTTTTGGTCCTGGCACATGCATGATCCCAAAATCCCCGGATGCATGATCAGAAATAAATGTAGGCATTTGTTGATCATCTCAATATATATATTAAAATATTTTACATTTGGGTTGGCATTATACGTGGGTCACTCTTACACCCCATATACTTTTCTTTTGCACAGCAGGAGGCGAAAGCAAAGAAAAAGGGCATTGCTATTCGTCGCCCTAAAAATTTGAATTTATCGCCCTAAAACACACGAAATTACACATTTATCCTTAACTTCCAATCAACCAATTACCATCCTCCGTTCTGAATCCATCCTCCGACAACATCCGACATCGCCGACCTCTGCGGAGGAAGAAGCAACCGGCGACCTCCACATCCTCTTCCGTCGGCCACTTCTGCCTCGCCCATCTCCCCTGTCGTTGTCCAATTCGTCAGTCAAATTCCATAACCCTATCTCACACACCCGATCTCATACACCCTAGATCCGCTATTTCCATCAGTTCGGCGCCGCAGCAGCAGTCAATTAGTTTCTCGCACTAATGTTTAGCTTTCAGTTTCACATTGGCACCATAAAAGCAATTCACTGAGATAGACAGCTAGGTAAGGAAAATGGAAGGCATGTTCTAATATGGGATGTCCTCTTTTATTACCCCTCAAGGAAAATGCAGCTCCCGCCGTGGTGACAGGAGAAGCAGGACGTAGCCTTTTGGACTCCGACGGCGGAGCGGAGGCCGTGGGGGTGGGGATTGGGGATTCTATTTTTGTTACTCTTAAAATC